GACGGTCGTAGTTGGGGAAGCACCTGAGGATCTCCTCTTCGTTCAGCGTGTCCCTCACCATCTCCGATGCGTTGTTGAGCGCCCTTGCTGTGGGGAACCAGCGGTTGATCTCCTTCAGCCTCCCCAACCACACCTCGTCGCCGACAGCCAGCGCCCACATCTGCTGCTCGCGAGTCGTCATCAAACCCTAGCCCGCGGCGCGGCGGAGCAGGGCGAGATGTGTTGGGTGGGTATGCGGGTGGGTGTGTGGTGGAGAGACGAGGCGTCGATGTGGACCGCCTAATATCCTCTCCCCCCTCTCGCCATTACTCACCTCGGAATCGCATAGCGCTCGCCCCACCGGCCAGACGTTGCAATCCTAGCCAAGTGGCACGAGAACTATACCATCTGGCCCTCCTCGAAGCCTGCGTCGTCGCGCCATCCCCATGCGTCGATCATAACCTCGTCGGCGTCAAGAACCACCAGCCGCTGCCCTCGCCGGTGGATGAATCCCGGCCGGAATATCAGTAGCGTCGTGCCGAGATTTGGCATGAACACCCCCCTGTGTCGCACTCCTCTGGCAACCCGGGGGGAACCCTAGCCGCCGCCGCTAGTAGGCGCCCCCGCCGCCCTACCCCGCATCGCCGCCGCCGCCGGAGGGCCGGCCGACGAAGCCGCGCCGGACCCCGGGATGGTGGCGGCGGGGCAGATATGACCCCCCCTTGCGCTCCAACACCACCCCACGCCACCCTCCCTACGACGACCACCTCTTGCCGGCCCGACGGGGCTGCCGGTGCCCTGGGTGAGCTGGGCGGCCGGATCTGGCATCCCTCGTCGGCCTGCCCCTCGCACGGCTTCGGCGTGCTGCCCCTCCCCCCGTCCTCGTGCTCTTTCTCCTCTGAGCCATCGCGGGCGCCCCCCTCCCAGCTGCTGCCGGTCTCCTGCCGGCCGGTCGGCGGCGCAGCCATCCCCTCCCCCCGGCGGCGCGGCCCAGTCTGCCGCTGGTGCTACCGTCGGCCGCGTTTGGGTGCGGGATTTGTGCCGATTTTGCGGGGTCATGCGGCCTGCTTCGGCCTGCCTCGCGTTGACTCCCTCTCCTTCGGCCCCTCCTCCCCCTCGAATCATGGTGACGGCACTCGTGCGGTGGTGGTGAGCCTTTAGTGGTAGCGGCTGGCGCGGTGCACCTCGCGACGGGCATTTGTTGGCGTTGCTCTGGCCCCGGCGTCCTCGGACCTGCGTTCTCCGGTGTCCTCGGCTTTGTCGGTGTTCTCTGTCGGGGCGGATCCGGCTGTGGCAACCAGTGGTTGCGTTCCTTCCAGCTCACTTGGTTTGCTGTTGACCTGACGGCTTCGTCCACGACAGCTTGGATCTGCGCCCTCCAGTCCTAGCTTGTCGGGGTTGCCGGTCGCCGTCGCCTCCCCTCGCGGTGGTCCTTGTTTCATTGCTAACCCTACTCTGTATGCCTTAAAGCTTCCCCCTTTTGCCAGAACCGTTGCTCGTAGGTCCGGAGGCGGTGCCACCCACCGATGGCAGGTGCAGCCGCACCACCCCCTTCGGCTTGGTTTCGGTCTTCATTGGCTTCCTCGTCTTCAAGGCCATATTCGGCGGCTATGGGATTGCTCGGCTCAGGCCAGGGAGAAATCCCTGCTCGGCTTGCCGGTGCTGGCAGTGACGGCGCCCGCGGGTGTTGTTTTTCCTTCTTGGAGGCGCTGTCATGGACTTCAGCTGTGCCCCTCTTCCAGCTCAGGGGAAACCCTAGGTCCGGCTGCTCCGGACCGGATGGCGAAGACGTGTCAACGTCATGTTCCTTCTTGAAGACGCCATCTTGCTTGCTCGCGGTGTCCCTGATGTTGGCTTTGGTGATGTTGGGACCCATTGTTGGTTCGGCTTTGTCGGTTCGGGCTTGGTTGGTTTAGCTGTGTTGCTTCCCCCTTTTCGGGCCGAACATCCCTTGTCTGTCTGCTTCGGGCATCATGTTCACACCTGTCTGCGTTCATGTAATGTGTTGTACCCCCGTTGTACTCATTCTACTCCTTCTATCAATGAAATGATACATATGCTTTGCGTATTCGTGAAAAAAAAAACTAAAGAAAAAAAAATATCCTAAGAGCAGAACGCTCGATGTCATGCAGGAACCAAGCTCCTGCCTCCTCATCCGAAAAGAAAAAAAATCCGAAAAGCTCCAGGCGGCAATCCAATCCAATCCAACGGCGGGGACCGCCGCAGAATCGGAAGAAAAAATCGGCGCGGGGCCCCTGGAGGGGCACCCCCGTCATTCCTCCCCTGCCTCCGCCTCCTCCCTTTTATCTCTCTGCCCACCTCCCGACGTTTCGCCCCCCATTTCGAAGCCCACCGAATTCCTCGCGATTCCTCTCCCCTCGCCTCCTCGTCCTCCCCCTCCTAGGGTTAGTACCCCTACCCTCCCCCCCGGATTTCGC